CAATCAAAGCTGTGAAGCCCATGGTGTCTGTGTGGTCTCTCAGAAAGGGATGCTAATTCTGCCTCTTTGTAAACAGGGTGCTTTCCCTAACCTTTCTGCACTGAATTGTGCAGGCTCAAAATGAGATTCTTAGGCTATGGCAGATTTAGAATAAAAATTAAAATGAGGTTTTTATATATCAAATCTAAGGAAGCCCATAGGCAGTAAACAGCAGCCCCCTGATTGTTAGGAACAATCACTGTTCTTTCTGAGCTGAATAAAATCTTTCTTTAATGAGTTGATTAAAAGATCCAAATTTTTTTGGCATATACACAGAAAATTCTCTGTAGATGCTTCTTAAAAAAAATACTGAATTGTGAAAGCAGTCATTGTTTGTCTCAGGGTTTACTAATGCATACAGTTAACTATGTCAGACAAAATGCTCTGCTCCCATAGCACTTATCACTACAGATGGGATTGTTCTGTCATAGAAGCAGAACGCTCAGTTCAGGGAAATACATATTATTCACGAATTGAATAACCTGACAAAGTACATTTTTATAGTAGAAAGGCCTGGAGACCCTAGAGTGTCTGTGGAACCACATACATCACGAAGGGAAATTTCCAAAAGGAAAAAAGAATCTTCAATTAACAAATGAGGTCAGTGGAGACACTGGACCTGGACAGATGTGTCTTTGAAGAGCACCTCTGGTGGGGGTGGGGGTCTTATCTCTTTGTGGACTTGGCCCAGCACACTGACACACTCCTCCAATGATGGTATCAAAAGTAATATTTTTCCTTGGATTATGTTTCTTTTGTTTTGTGTCAACACCACGTAGCTGGTGTAATTCTTCACTGTATTGCCTAATTTCAGTAAGAATCTACTAGGTCCAACTCCTCAGAGTATCTGCATTCATTGCATTCTGGGAAAATGATGAGAAGTTAATCTTTTTATATTTATTGCTCAGAAAAATGGAGCCTGCAGCCAAATGCATTTTTATTTCTTCTAGAAGAAAATAATTTTAGGAACATAGCTCTCAGTGTAAATTATGCTCAAAGAATAGGATCTATAATGAGTTATCTAATGTGATTTTTGTTCCTGAAACTATGGGGTCCCCTTCTGAAAAAAAATAATCACAAAAAAAAATAGTTGCATTAAAAATGAAGTGATTTGTCGCAGGTCAAAGGTGGTTCTACATCTAAGGACTGCCAATTGCTTTATTGGCTCTCTCACTAACAGGTGACAAAACAAACTATAAAAGACAAGAGAGGAGAGATGTAAGGCTCCTTTTGGATACCCTCTTTGAGAAAAGACCTTCAGGAAGGTTTTCAGTTGAAGTTCATTGAAAGTTTAATTGACGTTATTATAAAACTGCTTCTGGAAAAAAATCATGAGCAACAATTTTTGAATAGTGTATGTTGTCTTTGTAACTTATCACCCTTGAGGAAGAGAATAGAAGCAGTCCTTTGAAAACTGATAAAGGTAGTGGTTTACTCATTTGGTTGGACTTATGAAAGCTACATGGGGAATACTAATTATCAAGGTAGCTGTGTGTGTGTGTGTCTGTGTGTCTGTGTGTGTCTCTGTGTATCTGTGTCTGTGTGTTTGTGTGTGTATATGTGTGAGCACCTATGCATGTGTTTCTATGTATATGTATTTGTATTTATGATAGTATGTGCATATGTGTGTTTGTGTGTTTGTGTCCATGTCCACAGATGTGGGAAAACAGTAACCTTTTTTTAAATTTATTTTAAAATATCTTTGTTATGGTCATTGTAAAAGAAACTTAAACTTATCTTCTTTACAAATTATTCTTTTAGATAAGAAAGGGTCTAAAACTCCTGTTCTTTGGGTCACAGAGCAAGCTTCCTTCACAGACTATAGCGTAATTCATTGTTACATTATTGGTGTTGGCACATCAGTACTTATTCCATGTGGCTTTGAAAAAATGTCAATAAGCAGACAAGGGATATATTTGTGTCATTATATCTGAAAAAAGGGAATGTGTGAGAGAAGGGAGATATGTTCATCTACCAGCTGGCATCCATAACTAAAGAGAGATCACTGCACAGAAAATAGTGATGGTGGATGTAACAGGTGTGGCACAACACACACACACACACACACACACAGTTACATCAGTGTTTCTGGAGAAACCGAAGGCATGAGATCCTTACTTATCTACACAAGCCTTGACCAATTTAAGACACTTGAAATTGCAAATCCTACATGCAGGTAAGAAGATCTATGCACTTACTGTGGGAGTTTTGAGGGAAATCAATTTAATCTTTGGAATGTAATGTCAATGTTTGATGCTTAATTGTCTTTGAGAAGTCAAAAGTGCTTTTAAAGTGGTTGTTTTGTTCTTAGTAAAACTCTCATGAATTCTGGATTTGATTTTTACATATAACATTTTTCTTGATCTCAGGCCTCTGGTTATTTGTGCATTAAGAAAATATCCTGTGGTATTAGTCTTTGTCTCCTATCTCTTCATCCTCTTTCTTCTAACTGCAAAGCAACTAAACTAATTATAACCCTAACTGTGTATAGTTTTCCACTGAATCCTACTGACTCAACTTTATAAATGATAATAAGTGACCTTATAATGTTTCAACATGCACATTTTCCAGTTTCTTTAAAGGGCAATGTGTATACACACATACACACACACAGACACACACACAGAGGTATATGAATACACATAAATACATATAATACACACACA